CGAGCAGGGAAAAACTGTTATGAAGCATTCAAGTAGAGACAATTGTGTACTGTATACGAACGGGGGCCTGTGTTCGACAAGACCTTTGCACTATATTCAAACAGGGGCAGCACTCAGCAACACTTCGGTGTTGTATAAGAGTGAGGGAAGCCCTCAGCAGTGTTCTTGTACTGTATACAAACGAGGCAAAACACAAAGCGCACATGTCGTATGTGAATGAACTTTATGCAACCTTCATTCCTATGCGAGGATTTGAGACTCGACAGTGCTGGAAAAGGCCTTGCCCGCCCTAAGTGAAGGCGGGCCTGCCAATATGTGCCAAGGCCTAGGTACAGGCCAGTGTGATCACGCTAAAGAGCCAAGTGTGGCTCTATCTCATCATCCAGTAAGGAGGGAACAATTTTGAACACATCCTCATGGGCCATGGCCCTCCTCCTTCCTTATGACCCCGCTTCCTCCAACTTCGCCTCCTTTTTCAGTGCACTCTCATACAGGGCCTTAAACCACCAGTACACGCCTCAGCCTTGCAGCAAATAACTTGTTGCCACAAGAAGTAAAAGGCGGGCTCGGGGCAGGGTCGGAGCGTCAGAAGGTTTTCAAATCTTTGGGCCCATGTCAATCCGCATGTCCCAAAAAACAAAACAAGCTTTGGCCGTGATTGCAGTTGGATACACTTTTTGGAGTACTCCGTGTGAGTCTGCCCTCAGTGAGGGCACTTAGGCAGAACGAAGAACACGGGGAGCACGACTGTCAGACACAAAAAAAAACTTTAAAAAAGAACACAAAAAAAAAAGCCAACAAAGCTTTGGCGGTGAAAGTAGTTGGATGCAATTCAACGGCGCTAGTGTGAGTATGCCCTCAGCGAGGGCGTTTTGAGCACGAGGAATATGCGCTGCCTTGCTGGCAGGGAAAGGAAGAAAAGAACAAAAGGAGAAAAAAAGAAAAAAAAACACCAACGTTTCCCTCCCCCTGTAATACTCCGTTTACCTTTTCTGACACCCTCAAGAAAGACGCTCAGTACTCTCTCTCTCCTTGCTCTCTCTTTTGTCAGTGATCGTCTCGGTACAGTCACATATCAACCCAACGAAAGAAACGGTTCGAAAGCAATGAGAAGAGAAGGTAGAACTCCTAGCCGGGGCGGCAATTCATTTGGATTGGAGAGCAGACGGAAAATAAAATAAAACAGAGAGATCTGATTCAACAACACAGTCTAGTCCGACTACGTATGAGATCCCCTCAAGGCTAATCTGACTCAGTCCCGTAAAAGCACAGCAAATCAAATTCAAAGCGTACTACACAATGTAAGAGAGAATGGAGTGGTGTCTAAGGTGCAAGTCAAGCGGCGGACCATGCAATAAAGTTTGTGAAACATCTTAGTTGAGATCCCCTCAGCAGCGAGTGTCCTGGTCCGAAAGCATGAACTCCGATTCCCAGCAAGGTAGAGCAAGGTGACTGACATCAACAAATTTGGCCCTAAGGGGCCCTTCTTGTTTGGGCCCAATCACACTGGGTCCAAAAAGGTCCCAATTGAGTCAAGACTGGGTCCCAACGACAAAGATCTACTTTTTGTGCCTACCGCACTGAAAAACGAATTTCAACTCCAGAAAGAACCTACAGACTACAGCCGTTCAGAATACAATAAATAAAGTACTGTAGAATGATACGGCATTGCACACAAGATACACTTCCATTCACTCATTAGGTGAGAAAGCAGTTCACACACTTCAACACAAGATCAAGACCATAGAGGATGGGAGGAGAACCCCAAATATCCCAACAGGCAGTCAATTCCATGCACACACACATGGGCACCCCTGTGGCACGGCACTTACATGAGTGGCCGGGCTCTTGGGATGAAATGAAACTCACCCCCCTACTCAATTAGCATCCTCTAAACGAGTGTCCTATCATCTAGGACGGTCAAATTCTACCCCAAAGTACAACGCAGGATTCCCCATCGATGTTGAAGATCGAAGTAGCAACTTGCAGTCCGTTGGTGCAGATATGGCTGCCACCCTCACGCTCGCCTAACTTGAGTGGAGCCCTAAAGTTGCTCCTTGTCTTCCCTGAAGTCCAGATTCCAGTTGTAGGTGCCCTTCACTATCGCCTCTCTCCAATTGCATCAGGAAGTCCAACCTGGTGTCTCGCCACCACACAGGGTTTATTGTCGACCCTACACGACCCTGCACGACCCTGCCAGGAGGGAGCAGCTTCCCTTTCACCAGGCTGCCCCACTTAATCCTAACTTCCTGCCCTAACCCTAATGCAATGACTTGCTGATTTCAACTGCCGAGACTGACTGCGAGGCTGTACAGTGTACTGCTGTGTTTGCTGTGTGCTTTTTGTTTGCACTGAGGGCCGCCCGCTGCTGTAAAAATAGCCTGAATTAACAGCAGTAGGGGCTGAGTGGTTACCGGCCCTATGTGGCCTTGAGCCCTAAGTGCAGCAGTAGGACCGGTTTCGTAGAGGCCGAGTAGGCCCTAACTGACACGGTACCGGTAGGCCCTAGGCTAGGATAGTGTAGAATCTACAAGTAGGTTCGGGTAGGACTGTTTGGGACTTTTTGGCTGTTCATTTTCGCGATGCAGCGTTTGGAGAAGCCAAGCAAGTTGGCGGTGGCAATTGTCTACAGGCGGCATCCTGAGACCCTTGCTGCGGACAGCAGCCATAGCCGGCCCTTCTGAAGGTTGGCGGAGCTGGGGCATCCTCAGCACATCTACCCCTGAGGGTATCTGCGTTTGGCCAGGCTATGCTGAGGCTCTTACTGAGTGTTTGTAAGTGGCGGCAGCCATAGCTGCCTGTTTCTTCGTCAGAGTTGTCCATCAGCACTGAAGACTTCATCGCAGGATTTGTTCTTCATCTGGGTGGTTGGCGCTGGCCTCTGGGAGGCTGTTTCGGTTGTGCGATACTAACTGGGTGTAGGATATAGAGTGGAGTGTGGGGTTCTGCGTGTGGCGAGATACTGGAACAAACTCTGTAACGATATCTGGTTAATTGGCTCAACATCAGTGTGAATTCCAATTGTTATCCTCGCAGGTTCTTCTTGTGATTGGTTGTTGGGAGTTTGTCAGAGAGTGAGAATCACGCAGTGTCTTCTCCCCATCTGTGCATGGCTGAACTTCCGCTACATACTCTGATCTGTGTACAGTTTGGACTCTGTCTCCTCTCCCCCTTCTTTTATGCATGTATGGGCGTGTATGAGACTGTCTATGTGTGAGTGGCGGTAAAAATCGTCAGACAACCAAGTTCATAACACTAAGTGGTTAGCCCTAACCACTTCGGTGAGGGCAAAGTCAACTCTCGCCAGCAAGTAGAATTCGCTTTGATACCAATGTTACGATCCTGGCCAATTTCGAAATATACCTTCATGAGAAATCGCAATGCCGTCCAATTGCAAAAAGAAATGAATGAACTTGAGAGAGAGAGAGAGAGAGAGAGAGAGAGAGAGAGAGAGAGAGAGAGAGAGAGGATGAAGAAGATGATGAAAGAAACAAGAAGAAGATGTACACCAGCAAAGACCAATGATAATTCCCTTCTCCTTCGCCAACCACTCTCCTCGTCCTTTTCTCCTCCCCTTATATTCAACAATAAATAATAATAATAATGTTGAATGGCTGAACCAGAACCAATGTCCGAATCCCTCTTCTACTGCAGGCACAACATGAGGTCCACCATAGCCATGGCCACCCTTCTTCTTCCTCTTCATGTAGGCTGACTACTAGGGCCCCGCCCTGCTGTGCAAAGGACAACACAAAGCAGCTATGCTCGCTGCTGTTCAGGCCGCCATGCCTGACCCCACCTTGAAGTCGACTTGGTGCGGTGCAACCCCAACTGGGGCCTTCCAGATGTAGCGGTCTCCTTCATCCTAGCAGCGCTGAAATGCCCAGGGCTCCTCCAGTCAACGCTCCAAGAAGTGTGTAGCTAAACTTGCACAACGAGGAATGAGGAGGAGCACTTTGCTCCTCCTGGAGATATAGCCGCCTACTTGCCTCTTGGGACGGTGACTTCCTAGGGCCGTGCGGCCTCCAAGCAACCGGAGGGAAACATCATTGCAGACTCTGATATTGCCCGTACAGGCCCTGGACTCAGACTGGTTGGACTGGTATCCGCCTAGACCTAGCCTGCAACTACTGGGCCTCTAAAAATGCCAACTTTTGTCTTCTTCTGCTCGGCCTTGAGTATCCGGCACATCTACTTCTACTTGGTGTGGTACCAGCCTACTTGCTACTTGAGTGTCTTTCCCCCACGGCAACCCTCAACGTCACGGCCACAGGTAAGTACCGGCCCTACAGGCCTCCAAACAAGCAAGTACACCGTCACACACACACTCAGGCCGACCAGCACTCAGACAGGCACGCAGACCATCAAGCACGCGGGCACACACAGACATAGAAAAGTCAGCAGAATGCAGGAATCTCAGGAAGGCATCCATTCCAGCGGCAGAACTCAGAAATCAGCAGTGTTCTCAGTCTGTGTTTTGGCGGGTCATTACATACAGGTAAGGTAGGTAGGGAGGTAGATGGATAAGTGATGGTTAGGCGTTCTATGGGGTTTTCATGTCCACCAGTACTGGGCCCAGCTATTGACACCAAGCCTAAATTTAACCTGCGGGCCTGCTCGCCAAAAACAACAAAGTGATGCGGGCCTGCTTTTTGCTGGCGCCGCCAGTCATTTTGGTCCGGTACCAGAGCCCCAGAAAATTGCAGCGCTTTAACGTGGAAGTCCCATGGCCTATGTATGGGCCAAGTACTGGTGGTTTAAGGACATGCATCCTGTTGGAAGCATTTGAAAGCCGGGAAAGGTCGAGCGATAAGTCCTGCTTGCCATTCTTGCCTCCAGCTTTTCCACCTTCTTGCTTTCTGAGATAGGATTCGTATTGAACAATGAGGGCTTTTTAGCCGTGAGCATCTACGAGTCCACACACATGCAAAATTTGCCGAAATGCAGACACATTTTGCTGGTCGCAATTCAATTCCAAGTTGATGACTGCAAATACTTACCAGTGGCCAATGTCGGAGAAAGGCTTCCCATCGGCCCCTCACTCTCGCCCAAATGCTGGTCCTTAGCCTCAGTAGCAGCAGACCCAACTTCACTCTGAACCAGACAGGTCCACTGCTCAAAGAAGGAGCTACCTGGCGATGATGTTGATGACGATGACGATGGTGCTGATGGCGCTGATGATGCTGATGGAGTTGGGCATGTTGGGGGTGGTGCGGATGATGATGCCCTATGGAGTCTGTGCCAACCCCAGAGACAGAAACCCTTCCCTGCCTGCGGGAAAGAAGAGACGGGCCATCTCCACCATGGTCTTGGATGTGCACCTCATCATCTTGATCAACCCGGTGTTCACTGTTACCAGCGCTTGACGAGTTCGTACTCGGCAGAATACCTGTGTCACCACTCTGGCTTTGTTGAACATCTTCCACCTCCAAATTCATCGCTGCAGCGTTGCCAACATTGCCACCAAGAGGCGACATCTGACTTCCCGATGGCTCTGGATTGTCCTGAAGAGCGAGGGCCAATCCGCGTGCTGACACCTGTGTACTGCAGTGAAGCCCAGAAAAGATACAAACCACACGATCAAAGTACTGAAACAACCGGAGGCCAGCCGCAGCACAGGACTGGACAGAGAAGTATTTGGAGAGGAAAGAAGAGGGAAGCACTAAGGCGGGGTAGAAGGGGAGAGGCAGCAGGCATCACGAGAGAAAGAAAGAGAAGGAGAGAGAGACCAGAGAGAACTGAGACCTGTTTTCTTTCTGGCTTATTTCAAGTTAATTGGGAGCCAATTATGTTGTTGTTGTTGTTGTTGTTTTTAAATGAGGATGCAGGTTGCCTTCTCCTCATATGGGGGGAAAGCTGCATTTACTATGCTATTTTCTTCTCTCAATATTTTTCCATCTCACACTAGTACACTACCTACCTCGGGCTGTGTACTCAAACTGGTCTACCCACCTTCCGGACCTGCAAGGGGCACGGCAACCCAACCAGCAAGGAACCCAGCTCCACGTTCGAAGGCCAACTACATGTTTTGTTAACAAAGGAAGAACTCTCTCTCTCTCTCTCTCTCTCTCTCCTGTCTCTTATACACATCTAGATGTGTATAAGAGACAGGTCTCTCTCTCTCTCTCTCTCTCTCTCTCTCTCTCCAACTGCTCCTTTTACTTGGGAATGTCAGGCAGTCCAGGAAAGAAAACTGTGCAACAAGACAGTGGCTGAGCAAGAAATACTGCAGCATGCAGAATGAAGGAGGGTTTGGCAAAGACATCTGAGAGACAGGGGAGGTTGAAGATGCCAGGTAGGAATCTCAGATACAACTAGAGAGCCATACCACAATCTTCCTTACCTTAGGCACCCTTCATCCAGATGGGGGAGAAAATGGTGTGAGTGCGAGCCAAGGGGAAGGGGGCCCATACAATGGAAAAAGGAGGTAGTGATGAGGCTATGTTTTCCAGGGTGAAAGAAAGCGGGGGCAGGACGGGAAACGGGCGGGGGGGGAGGGGAAGAGAAACCCTGAATACAGAATCTTCTTAGTCTGACAAGAGGTAGGAGAACTTGTCCTCATGTTCACAACTTCACAGGCCAATACTCTGATGGGAAATCATCTGAGATTCACACCCAATTTGGGCATACTCACACTACTGCTTTCCTGGCCAGATTCATTTCAAAAAGCACACCTCTGAATATGCCCTTCTTCATGACGCCTGAGATAACCATCGGGCTGTCTTCATCTGCATTGCACAAGCAGTCAGGTGCCATTGCCAGCACCTAGCCACTGTGACCATGCAGATACAGATGGCATGGGTGTATATCAGACATCAGGAATATTATTTGGTGTGATTCTAAGTTCGAACTTCTAACAACTTTTTCCTACATTAGAAAATCAGCTGGAGAAGACCACTTCAACAAGCTGCGGGCTGCCCGCAGGACCCACAGGCAACATAAGGACAGACACACGAGTCACAAGACAAAAACGGTGGTTGGGATAGCAACTTACAACCCGTTCTCCGCTCTCCTTGTTTTCTAAAGTTTATTTGGCAGATGCCCACAGAGGGATCTGAGAGGGATTGCAGGGGAAGGCAAGCTGACAGTCAATCCTCCTAGTGGGAGTAATCAATGCTGGTCAGGGTTCCTTCGGCCAAACGGAAGGAAGCGTGATTGGGTCTATGATGTATTCATTTTTGACTTGCCGGGGGAATAGTGACCGGACTGACGCTCCCCAGAATGGATATGGAGCCAGGACCATAAGGGCCTGTTTGTATTAAAAAATAATAATAATAATAATAATAATAATAATAATAATAATAATAATAATAATAATAATAATTAAAAAAAAAAAAAAAATTGCATCTGAGCACACGCTCGGTCCGTAAACTTCCTTACCTTAGCCGGTTGATGGCATACGGCATGACAGTCTCAAGCAGAATCATCGCGGTGCGCCTCGGTATAGAAGGCAGTAGGCCACGACCTTCATCTACCTGTCGCCAAGACGGGACACAAAGTGTGTCATCGGTGGAGGATTCGCTACTGAACATGGAGGCCGGAAGGCTCATCAAGTGCACCTCCGATTCTGACTCAGACAATGAAACCGGCGGAACCAGAATTGATACAAGAGTCACAAGACAGAACTAGTTCGAACCAGAGTTAGTGTGCGCCTGGTTAGCACCAGATCCTATGCCATGAAACTGAACCACCTTGTGATGATGACCCCCCACATCGCACTCTATCTCAATTGGAAGCACGACACAGACAAACAGAATGCTGCGTAACAAAAATCTTTACTCAGCTTTCAAAGAACCCCTTCTCTCCAAACTTCCCCATTTTCCACAGGAGCAATTGCCCTATAACGTTAGAGGGAATCGGATGGACCTCTAGGTTGTCTTCCCCGGACGGTCAAGTGCACAGATCATAATGGTTTTTCATTCTTAGCATGGCTCAGTCCCAATAGAAGACCAGGACCATGCACCTGGCTGCCTCTGCAGTCTAGGTAAGGTCAGACAACCATAGAACAAAAAAGCTTCAGCCTTAGGCATGGGGAAAGTTGCAGACAAGTCCTTGCTATGGGAAGTACTGCAGAGAATGGCCCTGTCCAGGCAGCTTTCCACTGTAGCCTTCAATGTTTGCAAAACTTTGCAGCATATTAACAAAGTGAAATTACACCAAGCGACACACATTTGAAGGAAAGGACAGCAAAAGTCGCAAGGTTTGCTAAACAGTACAAAAGCCTGTCAAAAGGACATATGAAAATCAAATCAAGGCAAAAACATTTGCAATATGGTACATCCCTTTGACATAAGCAGAGCCAAGACTATCACTAACTAACATTGCTGAGACACCGAAGGTTTGGCACATCCAGTGCCAACCTGGCCCAATATATGAGCCAGCGCTCGTATGTGCAATCAGACTCGTTCTCAAACACACTTTTCATGCATGTAAACAGCAATGCAGCATACTGGCGACATGCGCCCACTCAAAACTCAGAGATATGGCTTTCAGATACGAGTTCACTCTCAATTGGCTATGGCGACTTCAGCGCCCAAACATCTCACTGTTCACATACACTGGATCACCCTGGATATCCCACACGCATCACTCTAACACTTGAGAACACACACACACTCACTACTAACTACAGCTATGGCAGCTATGGCTGCCTCTAACCTATCGCTATGCTAACTCCTCCTCTCTTGCCCACTGCGTCCTCCGGGCTCATCTGCAGACCTCCTTGCACAAGT